GAATTCTTAACATTACTGTGATTATGCCAGCCTTTATTGGTACTTCCTATTGCAAAAGAAAATACAATAGTATTTGTGGAGAAGAAATTCAGAGGCTTTTGGAAGTAGAGAATATAGTGCTAATGAGGGCATTTGATTTAATATTATGGAAGAAAAAAAGCTAACTCCTGGCCAGTGGCGTAGCGTGGGTTGTCAGCATCCGGGGCAAGGCAAGTAATTTGCGCCCCCTAACCCGTGGATTTTAGCACTGCGAGTGCAAGCGCCCCCCCCAGATGTTGCGGCCGGTGCGGCCGGCCCCCCCTGCACCCCCCACGCTACGTCACTGCTCCTGGCTACATACTGAAGTCCTAAATTTGATCACCCTACCCACCCAGCAACTGATACTCTTAGTTTGGATCCAAAGATAAGGATGTTCATGGAAGGAAAGTTTCCTGCCCCCTCCTCTTCATCCTGCTGCCCCCTGTGACCCCCACAAATCTCTGAAGGGTTATGGGACCCTCCTGAACAATATGTGATGGAGGCACAGACCCAGCCGATGTGGCAGATGGTGGTGGCAGCACAACAGGCCCCACAACAGTTTCTGGGTCAGCATAGGTATGCCAGGCCCCACTGGCTGACACTATTTGCAAATGTTTTTGTTGGCATGGCTAATGTCATTTTCTACAACAAAATGGTGCTTACTCCTAAGTATATTTGTGTATCATAAAGACAGCAGAAGCAAAGTCCCAATTTATTCCTACAACCATGATGGTGCCGTGATTTAAGTGAGTTCTTAAACTCAAAATCACCTGTTCATCTACGTCTTTTTTTATTTATAGTATTTTTCAGCCATCCATTTGGCCCAAAGGCATACAGAGCTCCACAAGCTGCCCCTTGTTAAGAACAGGTGCCAATGCAGTTGTGGTCTGAGCCTTTTTTGGTCATTCTGCTGCATTGCTCTGTGCATGGAGGAACTGTAAGTTGGCTGATGGAGAACAGATCTAGCCGCTTTCAGCTCAGCAAGTCCCAACCTTCAAATTTCTCCCATATATTAACAAAAGGGAAACTAAAGGAAAGAGAAAGCAAGATCTAGAATTGGCAGTGCATGTCACAGGTTTCTGCTAGTTAATGCCTTCACACAAACAGCTCTTGACACCTTACCTTAGCCCAGCCTTGTACCCTCCATATGTTGTGCACTACAACTCCCATTAGCTGCAAAGCCAGCACACCTGTGCTGGCCTGAGGTGGGGGTCTGTTATGCCAAACATCTGTAAGGCACTAGGTTAGGGAAGGCTTGCTCAGGCTGTAGACCTGATTCCTCAGATTTGAGTGGTAATTTGTAAAATGGGAACAAGAGAGATGTGCAACCCATACTTATAAGGAAGTGGGTTCAAAAGGCCTTACCTTCTTTTGTGAAATATTGGGGCTCAATAGCCAATACTGTGGGTTCAGCCTGGATGTCCAATAAGATCCAGACTCCAACTGTCAGTCAAACAGGATGTTTATTTAGACATTGCAAGACTGGTGCAACACAACCTCAACCAGCAAATAGTTTGGGGGGGTCACACCAAATATGAAAAAGCACAAGCATTTATACACTTACAAGCAAAGGGAATCAAAGGGGCAGTTATGTTCATATAGAGCAGTACTGTACTTATATCAGCTTATACTGGTTTAATCACAACTTGGTTATCTTTCCCAACTTTGTCCTCATGTTAGAAACTCAGCTAGGTGCCAAATGGCTCCTTATACCAGGGTTACAGTTGCCAAAATGGAATGTCTCATTGCCATTTTTGGGCAGAACGGCTCTAAAGTCTTGTTCAAATGATGGACTGGCTGTGATTGATTCTTGCTTAAACATCTGTCTAGTTCAGATGACAACCTGGAGCTAGATTAAGAGCTTTGAGAACGTAAAGAAGAAAAGTCACTTGATTCAGGCATGGTCCACATATATATTGGCCTGTTCCAACCTCTTTTTCTTAATGGTTTCATGGACCGTTCATAATGTAGGGATATTCTTCACAACTGTGAGCAGGACAGTGTGTGGGGTAAGTGAAAACAAGTTACAACAGTTAATTTTAATGTTGACTGCTCCTGCTCAGGCTGCACAGAAAAAAAGCATTTTGGTTCCTGAAATTCATTCTGATCGTGCAGATAAAATATAACTGATAGAATTCTACAGGTTGTGGGGTTACTGTGTTAAACCGGTCAAGATCCAAGGATCCCCTGGCCTGGTATGCACTTCCAGATAGTGGAGACGTCAGGCACCATCTTGCCACCCAGGCATCTTCACTTGGTCACAAGTGGCCAATAGCTAGGTGCAAAATGTGTCTGGCGCCTGGCTAATTTCGAAATCTGGTGATCAATAAAATGACTCCAGGCAGCCCGCAAGCAGGGATGCAGGATCTGTGGCCCTCCAGAAGTTGCTGAACTACAGCTCCTATCACCCCCAACCTCAGGCTATGATGGCTGGTGATGATGGGAGAGCCACAGGTTTCCCACTGCTGACTTAAAAGCAGTAGCCCTCACCTACTGTATATCTGCCACAAACTGGTGTTCAGCCTTGCTGTGCCATAAAGGTAAACGTAAAGGGACCCCTGACCATTAGGTCCAGTCGTGACCGACTCTGGGGTTGCGGCACTCATCTTGCTTTATTGTCCGAGGGAGCCGACGTACAGCTTCCGGGTCATGTGGCCAACATGACTAAGGGGCTTCTGGTGAACCAGAGCAGCACACGGAAACACTGTTTACCTTCCCACTGGAGCGGTACCTATTTATCTACTTGCACTTTGACATGCTTTCGAACTGCTAGGTTGTCAGGAGCAGGGACCGAGCAACGGGAGCTCACCCTGTTGCGGGCATTCGAATCGACGACCTTCTGATTGGCAAGTCCTAGGCTCTGTGGTTTAACCCTCAGCGCCATCTGCATGCCATAGTGAGTGGTAAACTGCTAACTTGTCCCATAACTAATAGTCAAGGACAGATAGTCATCTATTTAGTAATATGAAGGAGAACTTCCTTTCGTCTCTCCAGTAGCTACAGCAAGTAGTTTGAGGGAAGCTCTTCCCAAAGCCTTACAAGGCAAAAGTTTACGGGTGAAACAAGGATTCGATCCAGCTTGGTGATTGTGAGTCTTAAACATTCCAGATGAATTAACACAGAGGATAGCTCTGGGTTTTAAAATGTCCTATCTATGTCACGCGACCTTTATTATTTACTGCATGTATGCATAGCCTACACAAAAGCATCTAGGTGACTTCGTTAAAAGCAAAGTGCAATAGCAATGCATTTCCTCCCAAAACAAAAACAAATCACAAACAGCCAACAACAAAAATCCCTCTTAAAACTCAAATCTAGATAAATTGCCAAAACCACATTCAAAGATCTGACAACCCCAATAAATATTTCGCCACCACCTGAGGTGGGCGGGGGGTGTGGAGAGAATAACAGTGTTTAGTTTTTTACAGTTACCTTGAGAATTGCAGCACACATACACCAGCAAAAAGAAAGACTGGGGAAAGACTCCTGCTTCCCTGGATTCTAATGTATGTCTTAATTTGGACAGTTTGACGGGAGGAGAGAGAGTATTGTGCTTCAAACAAAGAGTAAAGGTAGCCGTGTTGACAGCTAAGAAAAATTCCAAAATCCCCACTAGGTCAGTACTTTTATTAGACCAACCAAAGTATCACAAAATATTGTGTGTATTTCCCCACTAGTGTGGCTAATAACCGCTTGGGCGGAAAGGGAGATTTAGATTGTAGAAAATGGTGAAATGCAATGGTTCCTCTGCATTGCCAGTCCACGTTGCCCCCCCCCCATTAAAAAAATGTCCAAAGATGGAAGAGTATCCTGTGGTGATGCTTGGCAGTTGAGACTTGAAGTGCATGAAACTTCAAGCCTGCCTTCCACATGCACCAGGAAACAGTGTCAGAGCACAAATTCTACATGGGGAAGATCCCTTTGGATAGGGCTGCCATATTTCAGTCATTCCTGACACCCACAAAATTGTTAAGAGTCCATCCAGATCTGGAGGGCCACAGGCTCCCCAACACTGGTGTAGGCCAGTGTTTCCCAACCTCCGGATGGTGGCATGCAGGTGAGTTGCAAAACTCACACAAGTGAGTCATGAGCTTTATAAACAAACCCTAAATAAGCATGGTTTGTAATCCTTGACTGGTATGATGGGCTTTTTTGTTCATGTACTGTATTATAATGCTGCATTAGCACTTGCAAATGAATGTCACAACCCCCAAATCTTGCATTTCGACCCTTGAAAACCGCTGTCTGGTGGCTGGCAGCAGAGAAGATCCAAGGTCCAAAATGTAATGTGATAATAAACTGATGGGTCACCATACCAAGTAAATTGGGACTTATGGGTTGTCATAGCAAAAAACTTGGGAGCCCCTAGTGCAAACATTGCTTGGCCTGACAGACAAATAGTCTGAACTGCAACTTCCTATGGATGTCCCTGTGTCCCATCTGGTTTTGGCCCTTCCGAAACCACAGCAACTGCAAGCCTCACTTGCAGAGATCATGGGTGCCACCCCTCACTCCCAGGTCCTTGGTCATACAGCTTGTTCCATTTTCCAGAGAGTGGTTCTGAGGCTGGTGGAAGTTGTGGTCCAAATCATCTGGAAGGCACCAGCTTGGAAAAGGTTGCACAGAAATTTTCTCAAGCATCATTGTGCACATTTATGCAAAGCAACAAGAAGAGACCCAATAAGGATGCCCTTGCCCCTCGCTTTTCATCTGCACCACCAGAATTAAAGCAAAGTTTTAGACTTAGAAAAACGATGATGACTGCTAAACCTTTTTTAAAAAACAAACAAACTGATGGATCCATACCCCCAACACACCTTCGCTGAGGGTGATAGGTAAGGGGGGGACTCAGATCTCAAAGCAGCAGCACCCCCCAAAAATTCAAAGGCACCTTCCCATATTTCAGTTCATGGGCGAGTGGGCGGGGTGGGGGGTGGGGGCAGACCACTGGCAATATCATAAGGCAGCCAGACTCCAGGATTGCCAGTTAAGGAACAAAGAAGCTTTTTAGAGGCGGAGAGACTCTCCCCCACCCTGCCCATCCCCCTTGGAGAGTTCTGGGTGGCAGGCGGCCGAGAGAGGGGGAGAGGCAGGCGCCCCCTGCTTTCTCCCGCAAGGGGGTGGGGTAGGGTAGGCTGCAGACGCCTTTGTCCCTCCAGCGCCAGGCGAGAAGCAGATGGCCGAGGCGTGAGAGGCCAGCAGGCAACGGCTGTGTTGCTGCTGGATGGGCGGTGCGCGCCTGCAAGGAAAGGGGCGCGGAGCAAGGAGGCCAAAAGGGACCAGAGGCTAGCGAGCGTGCCAAGGCGGCGGATGCAGGGGCCGATGAACTGCAGCGAAAGCCTCCGAATCCAGGTCCTCCTGAGTCGGCTCTGGCAGGAGCTGCACGGCGGCGGCGGCGGCGGCGCTGCTCCCAATGCCATCCGCAGAGGCAGCAGCCCCCTCGACGACTCACTCCCGGCGCCAAGCCAGGCGACAGCGGCGGGCAGCAAAGCGGGCGCAGACGACGCTTACCTGTACATCTTGCTCATCATGATATTCTACGGCTGCCTGGCCGGGGGCCTGATCCTGGCCTACACGCGCTCCAGGAAGCTGGAGTCCAAGCACGACCCTTACCACTTGTACATCGAGAGCGACTGGACGGCGAGAGCGGGAAGCCTGGGAAGGGGCGCGGGAGGACCAGGAGCGAAGCTGGCGGTGGCGGCCGGGGAGCCTAGCCTGGGCGAGGGGATGCCGGCGGCTGCCGGCGGGGAGAGGGGGAGCAGCGGCGACGACAGCGAGCATCTGTGAGAGAGGAGGAAGGCTCCGGAGGAGGATCGGATCGGCCCACCCCAAATCTGAAGAAGTTCTTTTGGGGGTGGGGGATGCGGTCCGCTCAAAGGCTGGAATTCTGAACTGCGCCTCTCAACTCGGCGGGGGCAATGAAACAACAACAAAAATTAACCAAGCAATTAGTTCTGTAGCTTCATTTGCCCCACGAGGAAGCCGCGTGCAAGCTTTGAATGGGGAGGCAGATGGCGCTAGGCAAAAAGACGGTTCGGTGCTCAGCGTTGTAATTAGTCTTAAGCGGAGGGAGCGTTGTGCTGGGCAGGTATATATAGGTATTTACACCAGCGGTGCAGAATGTGTCCGTCCCCCCGGATGTTCCCACTAAGACTTCCAGCTCCTATGATTCTTCCGGCGTAGCCATGTGCTTTAAATGCATCTGGAGGAAACTTAGGTTCTCCATCTCCAGGTTAGACTGTGCTGACTGCAAAACAAATCAGTGGACACATATGCCAGAGGCCATGTGGTGGTGGAGTTAACCGTGGGATGCTCTCCTTTAGAGAACACAAGTCACCAGGACTGGGATCCATCTCTGGCTCTGTTTGGAAGACAGACAGGTTTATTGGTTCCCTTGGGAGCTCGCAGGATGTAAAAGTCTGCCTGCACACCATACATTTAAAGCACATTCCGCCGCCCACAACCCAAAAGAATCCTGGGAACTGTAATTTGTTAAGGGTGTGAAGATAAGATTATTTCAGGGTGGTGGGCACTGGAATGTGCTTTATATTGTCCAGGCAGCCCTTGATGGGGAACATTTCATATAAAGTATGTGTAGCTGTTTTGCTGCTTAACATCCATTTTTTATTTCTTTTTCTTTGATGATGGGTTTTCAGTTAAAAGGTGCCCACCACACTGGAAAGGAGAGGATAATTTATCTTAAAAATATCATGTTACAATGAGTTTTGGCTGTGAACACACAAACCCTGCCATTCAAGCAAATACTTTTCTGGGGCCCTGAGTTCCAAGCTTCTCTCTCCCCCCACCCCCAACCGCCCCCTGCAACCCTCAGCAGCTGCACAGCCCATCAATAGTCCTAAGAGGAGGAGTGCTGGCCAGGGAAACAAAGAGAGCAAGCCATGCCGGTTGGAAGGGGTGACACCGCTTTGGATTTTAACAGCACAAACCTTTTGTTCCCTTTAATTGCCCCCAGAGGAAGAGAGGACCCCCTGTCCCAGAAATGAACACCAATGCCTCTACTTTTCAGTAGGGGTGGTGTGCTACCTCCAGTCTGCCATTTTCTCTTCAGCTGGAAAGTGTTCTGGATCTCTTGACACAGCCTTAAACAACCTGGTGTCCTCCTGGTGTTTTGGACTACAACACCTATCAAGAACAGTCAGTAGAACCAGCTTGGGAAAGGCTGCCCTGCATCAATAATACCATTAGGTATCAGGCAAGATTTCTCTCCCAGGCTTTTAACCTCTGGTGTACGTTTGATCATTTTTTTAGGTGTCATATTTTAAAAAAACAACCCCCAAACCCCCTTTCTTATGCTTTTTATAGTGTTTGTATTAAATATCGCAAACCTCCCTGGAAATTTTGAATTAAAGGGCAGCAAAGTAATGTTTTAAATTTAAAAAAAAATAAATGCTAGGTCCTGTTGCCAGCATCTATATGGATTTGTCTTCTCCCCAATCTAGATTGCCATATTTCAAAAAGTAAAAACCAGGACACCCCAAAATTGCTTTTTTTAATACCAGTGGGAAGATTTTTAAACAAATGAACTTGCCTTCAAATGCAATGTAACTGAGGTATGAATGTCTTCTGCTGACTTCTGTGACTTTCTTAGTGTCTACAGTCTCTCTCAATGTGTTCAATGGGGTATGTGTGTGTGTGTGTGTATAGAGAGAAGAGTAAACCCCATTGAACTCAGTGGAACTAACCTCTAGGTAGACATTTATAGAATCGCACTCTAAGGCTGCAGTCCTAAACACTTATTAATTAACACATTGAGACTTACCTTTGAATAACATGTATAGGATTGCACTATAAGTTAGTTGTGCTGAAGGCCCATTAAGATCAATTGTGACTTATCAAATTTGTTTGAAGAAGATTTAAGTGCAACTAACTTAATCTGGCTCCAGTTCAATGATAATAAATGACAGTTGTAATTTGCAGTTACTGGGAAGCAAAAACATTTGGTTGATAGCAGGGACCTGTTATAGTCTCTCTTAGGTATTTTACTGGTTGACCTTAAACTTCAGCCTAAGTCCACTATCAACAGAATTTTGCAGCTCCACAGTGATAATAAACAACTACGGTATTTATTATCCTTGTAAACGATAGTCATTTTCAGTAACAGGGAATTTTCTGTTCCTTTGATAAAGGTCCAATACATGTCAAACACTGCAGCGCATTTAGAAATGAAGCAAGTGAGTGCTTGTTTGTTCCTGTCGAGAGAATAATAATCTGAAATGGATTAATATTTTGCCTGTTGTGTTCATGGACTTTGGAGCAATTTTATACCCATGTATAGACATTGACACACCTCATGTGTAGACCTTGATACACCTAGCAACTGCATGTATTTGTGAGACGGGAGTATTTGTATTTCCAGTGTTTTGTTTTTTTTACCTTGATTTAGATTAATATACCATTCCTGTGACTTTTTCTAATTACTGTATTTGTGACAAGTTACTGCAATGATTAGCTTTCTACTACATTTCCGAGAGGCAGACTTCACGTGCCCCTAATTTTGTTGTCCTGGTTCACTCTTTTCCCACCTGCATTTGGGACTTGATGTCCTGCATAAAAACATAAGAAGAGCCTGCTGGATCAGGCCAATGCCCCGTCTAGTCCAGCATCCTGTTCTCACAGTGACCAACCAGATGCCTGTGGGGAACCCACATGCAGGATTCATGCACAAGAGCACTCTTTCCTCCCATGGTTTCCAGTAACTTGCATTCAAAAGCATCGCTGTGGAGGCAGAGCATAGCTATTGTGGCTAGTAGCCACTGGATAACCTTGCTGAATTTGTATAGCCCTTGCCTGGCATCAAGAGAATAGGGGCAGGAGTAGCTGTGAGTGAGCAAGTGACTAAGCCCCAGTTCCCTCTACTGTTAAAAGAGAGTACTAGACATCAAGGTTTCAAGAATGACATTTTGCCAGGGTGGGTAATCTGATTTTCCTGTCCGTAGGCCATATTTCCACATACATTACAACAGCCACATGCATCGTAACATAGTTCTAAGGCCGAGCTATAATGAAGTGGGGCAGGCAGGAAGAAGGTGGCATAAAATGGGGCAATGGCAAAAGCAAAATAGGCAGAATTTAGGAGACATCAAGGAAGGTAGAGCTGGGCTGGGTGAAGATTTAGGACAAATGAGGAAGCAGGTGGTGTAAAGAAGGATGAGCCATGGCAAAAGAAGGCAAAGAAAAAGCAAATAAGCTGGAGAGACCCTTCTATGAATGTAGCACCTCTTTATAGTCATGTTTCAGTTCACATTCCCACAATTTGGTGAGACTCTTGCATATGTAAAAGCTTCTGGATGGAAAGATTTCTCTAATACAGTGTCTTTCAGAAAGAACATTTTTGAAAGGCAAATTATATAGTCCTGAGATTCGGAGGAATCTCTCCATATGGATATGTAATTGAATTTTTTTTATAATTTTGCATTGTAAAAACCAAATAAAAATGATTTCAAAAGAAAGGCAAATTATATTAATGGGCCTCACACCATTCTTCAGTTGCATATCCTTTGAAGCTTCTGTAAAGTAAAAAATAATTTAATTCCAATGCCATACATTTATGGTTGAAAGTATGCATAAGGTTTATGTACATTTTTTAAAAAAAGGTTTATGTACATTTTACTGTACCGCATACCCAGGGGCATTCTACTTTATCACATAGGACTCCTGCTAATACAAAGACAAATGCCTGCACAATGAAACATCAGGAAGAATAAATCACATGCAAATGCACATGTCTTTGTCAAATGTTTTTGAGTTAGCAGTAAAGCATTATGTGGTAAATATTCTTTTTTTAACAGCCTACAAATTGAACAAGAAAAACACTGTTACAATGCTGTGATTGGGGTCTTACTATAGACTAAGAACTAGATAAAATTTCACTGTTGTCTGAGGTGTCACTCATCATCTTGAGCCAAACAGTCCAATTCTACACATAGAATTATTCTGAAGGCTGCACAAAAAGCCATCCCAAAATATTGATTAATCACAAGAGGAGGCTTTGTCTTTCAGATGGTTCAGACAGGCCATCCACAGACAATGTTTTTCTCCCCACTATATAAGGCTTAAGGCACTTGTGGGGGGCTCTTTCTCAGGAGAGGCTGCCCAACACTATTTACTGCATAACAATGGGATTCCATCACCTCTATGAACAGAGGCTTACTGCCTTTCAGCAAATGTGTGTCTTTTGCCACAACCTCGTTCACATTAAGCAATTCATCTCATACGGCGGAGATGGAAAAATGCCGCCTTTGCAGTAGCTGCAACCTGCGCCTCCATGGAGAGGGAGGCGTCGAAGGTTACACCCAAACTCAAAGGGCCCCACACATTTGTACCATCAAACACACACAAGTACAACTTCACATGGGAAGAAAACCCAATTGGCCTAAGGTTCTACCTTGTGTGGAGCCCAAAATGAGTATGCAGATACTCATATAGGACTCATTCACACAAACCACCAGGTGGCTGGCATTTGTGGCATCATCAAGAGGGATGGCTAACTTGCGTGACCCAGTGAAATAGCTTTACGTGTTTTCAATACATAGAGGCCAAAGGATGACACCCACCTACACCCATGTGCTAATGAACCCCTAGAGCGTGGGTATGGCAGTAGCATGAGACAAGAATTCTTCAACATTTTCAGCCCCCAAAACCATAAAAATCTATTTTTACTGCTTCTGAGGCAACCTCTCATCCATACAGTCTAGGGAACCTCCTACTAACAGTGCTTCAGTCCTACCTGGATTGAGCTTCAGTTTCTTGGCTCTCACCCAGTTTGTTACTGAGGCAAGACAATGGTCAAGTACAACCACTGCCTCACTGGCAGGTGTGAAGGCAGTATGCTGAGCTTGGTTGCTGGCAATGTACTCCGGAGTTTCATGTAGATGTTAAACAGCATGGGGGATAAAATTGAACCCTGAGAAACCCCACACTGAAGGCTCCAAGGTGAAGAACTTCCCAAGCATCACCCTCTGGAAACGACCACACAAGTACAACTGGAACCACCACAAAGCAGTGCCACCCACCCCCAATTTGTGTTGGCATGCAGCCAAGGAAACGGGGGCAATTGGCAGGCCCCCAGCTGGCTCCAGTCTACCGGCCGGTGTACCGGGCGAACTCCAGTCCTTGGTGCAGCATGAATCTGCGACCCGAGCTTCAGAAGCTAGGGCACGCTACTCAGCAGAGTAAACACCACACAAACAGAAGAGGCAGGAGAGGTTGTGTGAGGATATTTACAAGCAGTTTATTCAGCATACTTCAGGACAAAAGGAAACATGTCTAATCTCCTTCGTGTCCAAAGCAAAAAAGCAAAAGCAATACACAAATGGAAGTTCCCAGCATACTGTGCTGGAGTGTAAACAGACATGTGACACACAACAATTATGCCTGTTCCTTAAGGTGGAACAGAATATTCCAACAATTTGGACAGCTGCTCCAGGATACCATGAGGTCAAGAATTAACAAGGAGACATTTTCCGTCTCTCTCCCAACAGTGGTCATCATACAGCGTGACCAAAACAGTTCCTATGACAAAACTGGGCCTAAATCCCAATCGAAATGTATACAGAAAATCAGTTTCCTCCAAGAGCACCTGGATCTGATCTGTGGCCACCCACTCCAGGGCCTTGCCTAAGGGGAGATTAGGAACTGGCCAATAGTTTTTCTGAGTCCTTAGATTTTCCGAGTTCAGTGAGGGTTTCTTAAGGAGTGGTTTTCTTAAGGAGTGGCCTCCTTCAAGCAGGCAGGGACCACCCTCTCTTGGCCCAGCCACCTGGCCCCTCCCTGCTAGTTTTTATCAGCCAAGATGAACTAAGGTCCAGAATGCAAATGGCCGTCCTGATCAATCCAAGCACCTTGTCCACATTCTCGATCCTTACCAACTGAAACTCATCCAACACAACAGGACTAGACAGTGCTCTGGACACTCCTTGGTCACCTCTGCTGTAACAGCGGAGTTAAGATCCTGGTGGATGCAACCAGTTTTATTATTTGCAAAGCTAAGTGTCTATGATGTATTCCAGCTCAAGTATTTTCATGGGGAACCTATATTTAAAGGTAGATGAGGGTAGATGCAAAATGTAACCAAGTTTTAATATGCTTGGAGCAATCACCATTGGGCGTTACTCTGCTACAAAAGAGTCAAAATCTCTCTTCCAAACCCCCCTTTTTATAAAAATAATATATATTTTTTTATGTAGCCAGTAAAATGGTTACATACAAACTCAACAAATCATAGATAAAACAGCACAAAGCAACATAGTGTAACAAAAGCAGTTCCAAAGCAGCTCAAAAAAATAGCCTCGGGGTGTTGAGGTCTTCCTAATATCTCTCCAATATCTTCCTTTACTAGAAATACATGGAAGCCCAGAGACAATTATCATTCTCCTTCACACAATCTTCTCCCAGCTGTACTTATTTGCACCAAGATTTTCAGATTCTAGGAAGACTTAAAGTTGGTCAGGATCTGCATCCTCACCTTGTTGTTACAGCTATTTTTATTTCTCACCAAAACAAATACAACTTGTGACAGATAGTGCTTGTATACAATGTGTATGAATGAGTGAGTCATCAATGCAAGTAAACCATAACAGTATTTTCCTATATTGATTTAAATACCGAAGCCCCAGACAGCATTCTTAAATAAGTAAGTTTGATTTTTGCTGTTCTGAAGTTGGTAATTCCTGGCAAGAGGAAGTTTCTTTCAAAGAGAAGGTACTTTCTCATATCCAGAGTACGACCATCCTGAAAGCCAATTATCTTGTCCAGAGGAAGTATAGCCAACTAGTATGCTCCCCACTAATTAGGGCAGTCCTGGAAGCGGAAGCAGTCACTCGCAATCTTCCACACTGTGTTGTTGTTTGTGGTTTGTGCTGTTAACAAGAAGTTCTGATTGAAGTACTGCTGCTTGCTCCCATCAAATTTGACAGACCCACATGTCACAACAAGGATGGTGTTATGGTTCAGAGTGGCTTGCTCTACAGAAAGAAACAGAACAGAAGATATTAAGGCATGCGAGTATACCACAAGCCTACTTTTATACAGAATTTCTATCAAGCATTTCAAAGTTATTGCTTCTTCCTCCTCTTTCTAACTAAAACACCTGTAAAATGCAACCAACAATACAGTCAGTATTATAGAAGCTTGCAGTGCAATCATGAAACAGGTATGCGTATGTGTGTGAAACTCAAGAAGTATTAGTAAGTTCATCTTGTTATTATACTGTTTAACCCTAGGATGGCCCTCCATGTATTGTTGGACTCTCATTTCCCAGCATAGCCAAAAGTCAGGGATGATGAGAGAGAGAGAGTCATTGGTGCCACAACTTACCCACCAATGGTTTAGTCCAAAGTGCCACTTTACAATGTTCTATGGGTGTCTAGAAAGCAGCTTCTACCAAGTCAGAATATTGGTCCACCTAGCTCAGTGTTAGGGACGCGGGTGGCGCTGTGGGTAAAAGCCTCAGTGCCTAGGGCTTGCCGATCGAAAGGTCAGCGGTTCGAATCCCCGCAGCGGGGTGTGCTCCCGTTGCTCGGTCCCAGTGCCTGCCAACCTAGCAGTTCGAAAGCACCCCCGGGTGCAAGTAGATAAATAGGGACCGCTTACTAGCGGGAAGGTAAACGGCGTTTCCGTGTGTGGCTCTGGCTCGCCAGAGCAGCGATGTCACGCTAGCCACGTGACCCGGAAGTGTCTCCAGACAGCGCTGGCCCCCGGCCTCTTGAGTGAGATGGGCGCACAACCCCAGAGTCTGGCAAGACTGGCCCGTACGGGCAGGGGTACCTTTAACTTTTTAGCTCAGTGTTGTCTACACCAGTGTTTCCCAAACGTTTTTGGGCAACGGCACACCTGTTTACTGAAAAAAAATCTCGCGGCACACCACCATTAAAGCCCCGCCCCGTGACGTCAGCGCGCAGCGTCACGCCGGGAGGGACGCACAAAAGTGAAAGTTTTTTCCCTCCCCCTTGCTGGGGAACCTCCAAGCTTTGGGGGTGGGAGGCAGCAGAGCGAGGGACTGAGGGACGGCGGCAACTGAGGCGGCGGCGGCTGAGGCAGAGCTGGGAAGGGGGTTTCCAGGGGACACGGCAGCTCCTCGAAAGGCTTCTCTCAGCTGCGCTCAATCCGCCTCGGAGAGGATTTCCCCTCCGGTCCCATGCGTTCGTTTGGGGCATCGCTCCGGCTGCTCCCTCTCCCGCCGCGCAGGAGCGATGCCTCTCTCTGGCTCTCCCTCCGCGCAGGCTGAGGGAGGGAGGGGCGCGTGTGACCCGTCTCTGCTGGGAGACCAAACCCAGCGAGGCAGAGTCGCGCGGAGGCGCCCAGGCAGCGCTGCCGGCTGCGAGGAGGAGCGCCAGGCAGCAGCAGGAGGCGCGGCCTCTCCTCGCCGTCGCCGCCCCGCCTCTCGCCGCCCGACTCGCCCGCCTCCCTCCAGGCATCTCGCGGCACACGAGGCAACGTCTCACGGCACACTCGTGTGCCGCGGAACACCGGTTGGGAAACACTGGTCTACACTGAGTGGCAGCAGCTCTCCAGGATTTCAGACAGGGAGTCTATCCCAGTACCATCTTGAGAGGCTGGAGGCTGAATCTGGAACCTTCGGTGTGCAAAGCAAATGCTCTGCCACTGAGGTATGCCTCTTCTCTAACTTACCAACTAGCAAACTCCCCACCACCACCATTATTCGTTATTTCATTTTCAATATGTATATATCCAATAACAATACTTTTGTTGATAGTTTAGAAGTAAAAATTAAAACCATAAAATACAAAAATTCAACATGAAAACAGAATTTACAAAAAGAGCAATAATTTCAGTGCTATTTTTCGCCATCCTGACTATGTTTTGCTTGTTACTATGCTATGCATACTTGTTTTATAGAAGTGAGTCATGGGCAACTTACACCTGCTAGGAGCAAAGCCCCAATGTCTTTCACTTGTGCTGCATCAGGTAGATTTTGGGCATCACATGGCAGGACAGAGTCTCAAACAAAGATGTGCTCTCCCAAGCCCACATTCCTAGCATGTTCACATTTCTGTTTCAGAAACATCCACACTAGTTTAGTCAGGTACACAGAATGGAAGATGGCAGGATCCCTAAGGATGTGCTCCAAGTGGAGCTGGCTTCACGGACTAGGCCTGCTGGCAGACTGACTCTATGTTACAAAGATGTCTGCAAATGTGACATGGAGGCTGGGATTGCCGCTGTATGACAATCCCTTACAGACAATTGCAATGCCTGGAGACAGTCAGGCTGTGTGCCCACAGCAGTGACCAGAGGATGAATGACCACTGAAAGGAGCACAAAGAGAAGAAATGCCACGGTGCACCTGCAGCAGCAAAACCAAACATCTTCATCTGCCCTACTGGACTCTGCAGCCAAAGCAGGCGCTGTAACTCTCCAGTGGTTTGACTTTACCCCCGAAGGTGAGCTCTTCAATGATCTCCCTAGACAGATGGATGCTAACATTGTAAACCGCCCTGTGACCCTCAGATGAAGGACAGTATAGAAATTGTAAAAATTAAAAATATGAAATAAGTTGGGCAAAGGACTGTTCAAAGAAGCGACTTACGGGAAATTCAAATTAATCTTTAAGGCTTCTAAAAACAATTATATTCAGGTTATGTCCACACCAGCACTCTTTGTACAGTTCATAGGATTTTGCTCTGACCTGTCCAGCAGCCTTGTAAGGTGGCATAGGAACTGATGTTCTAAAAAGCATACTGTCCAACAAGACAATGACTTATCCCCAACAACAGCATACAAATCGATATGGCTAATTTGACACAACAACACCCTTCCACATACATACAACCAAACCATGCTGCAACCAACTGAACACAACCAACCAAGCTCTGGACTCTCCAATCTCTCACAATGCCAATATAAATCAATAACTATATAAATAAAGGACCTACCCATGAAATGCTGACACTGAAACCCTGCACAATAGAATGAAAAGACCACTATCCCCCCAACCCTCTCCCTCCTTCTTTTTCTCCCCTGTTCCCCCTAAGTCTGTGACAATAGTGTCTCATACCGAATGTAAGCAAACTGTGAAAAAGACTCTATGAGTTGAAAGTGGAGACACTATATGTACTTTTCCTGTTTTTTTCCTTTGTTTTCCTCCTTTGTTTGTTTTATATCACAAAAAATATTTAATAAGCACGTTTTTAAAGCATGTTGTCACACTTTTTGCAATAGTTTTCTGCTTGAGCTACAAAGATCAGCACAAATAGGAACAAAGCTGCTCCTTGCAACCTTTTCCAAAAGACCATCAGGGACACTATGGATGCTTTTCAATTTCTACAATTTTTTGGAAGAATATGCAGAAACGTCACAAGAACAGATTGGGTAGACATAATTTAACCACATAATTCAGAAACGCAAAGAAACAGCTGAAATTTCTGAAACTGGAATGATTGCAAGTTACATAATGTGAAAAGGTTAAATAATTCTGCTTACATATTTAGAATCAAGCTATCTTCCCTGATTTGTGGGCTACACTGTTTGACAAGGCATCTTACCATGAACAGGCTGGCAATCAAATGTGGTAACTTGAAAATCACTTGAAGGCAACATTTCAAAGAATTCTGCAAGTGCTGCTTGCCCGGATACTGCATTCCCATTCCAAACCAGGGTCGCTTTGTCCAGGTAGAGTTTGGTCAACACCTGAGAAACATTAGGCAGCATTACATGAACTCCAAGGGGAAACTGTGCTTTAATTACAGCACCCCTTCCCATATAGGTTGCTGCATCCAGATACAGTATTTACATTTTCCCCTTTCCTTTAGGGTTTTTTATTTTTATTTTAAATCTGAAAGGCTTTTTAAAGAAGTCCCCCAACAAAATGCACAGAGTTGCATTAAAGTCTTGTAATTAACACACCCAAATCAAAGCACCAAATATAGGATGTGGGAGGCCTTGCTTGGCAGTAGTACACTGGAAAGGAACTAGGTATCTTAGCTGATCACATTCTAAGTATGAGCGAACAGCATGATGCACCTGCTAAAACAGTAAGAGAAACAACCTAACATTAAGAACTGTTTTAACAGTGAAATAGACTGTTTTGGGAGGCAATGAGTCTCCTTTGCTGGAGGTGTGTAAGCCATGTGTTAGGGATGCAAGAAGTTGCACCCTGCATTGCAAAATCCTACAGTGAGCTGGGACTTGGCTTCCAATTCTTTGGTTCTATGTCTACAGAAAGGTGAGCCCCACTGAGTTCAAAGGGAGAAACACTCAGATTAAGTAGCTACCATTTCATGTCAACTAACTGGAACTGCTCAGTCATTGCTTCCACACTTCTGTGTACCTGTTTGCACTATTTATAACACAATCCCATACATGTCTATTTAAACACCACTGCGTTCAATAGGACTTACAGGCAAGTGGTATAGGATTGTAGCCTTTGGATGCAGTCCTTTACAGATATTCTCACAGAGTAAACTCCCACTGAACATATTTTTGAGTAAGCATACAGAGGATCAAGCTGTTAAGAGACAGAAACAAATGACATGTGTTTGAAGGCTGTGTCCATGACAACATGGAATGATCTAATAATCTCAGCATGTACAAATGTGTATATTAGCACAAATAATATCAGCACATACAACATCAGAACTCAGATATGTACTTTGTGAAATGCAGTAAATAATTCTTCCAAAATAACCAAACCCCACACCAAACACAAAAGCTGTTGGGAATCTACATACCCGTCTCCTTTTATCCATGGTTTCATAGTAAATATTTGCAAATTCTTCAGCAGCTCTGCAAGCTTGATCCACATAGGTTTTAAAGTTCTAAACATAAAAACACAGCTCAATGAAACCATTTTCGAAGGGTGTCAACAGTAAGGTAAAGATGTCAGATGCAGAGAAGGGAACTCCATTTTGTAAAGTTTTAATTGATTTCCTTTTTGTGACATACAAGAACCAGGGCAATACATACAAGAACTGTTTAGGGAAGCTTTTAATGTTTAATAGGTTATTGTATTTTAGTTTTGGTTGGAAGCCGCCCAGAGTGGCTGGGGAATAAATAATATATATTATTATTATTATTATTATTATTATTATTATTATTATTGATAATGGATAGAAATTTCTTCCATAGTTTTGCTTTGTTGTAACCCCTTCCCCAAAGCCATACAACTTTATATAAGTGACTGGCAGAAATGACCTATGACTATGATTTTGTCGACCATAATTACATGAAACAGTCCCAGACAGTATCAGCATAAACAGAGGAAGAGAAGCAGCAGTGAAGTTATGCCTTCAACTATGTGCTAGGAGAAAGGCAGCAAAGGGATTGTTTCTTGGGGGGGGGGATGTGCTCCTACACCATGAACTTTGTAGTGGGCCCTTCTCCCGTGATGGACCACATACTTGTTTGTTCCATCCCTCCCCATTTCATTCACATAAGAAGCCTGTAAGATTAGGCTGAGAGAGAAAGAGAGCACACTAGTGGCCCGATATCTCCCAGTGCCCTCACAGCTGAAACTCTTGAACAAAGCAACCTCCAAGGAGCCGACCTCATTTGCCATTGCCTCTGCAGCACCGGAAGCCTGGCAATACATTCCTTGGAAGCCGGTTCTTCCGCCCGTTGGTCCTGCCGCCCGAGGAGGTGGCCTCATATTGCCTCATGGGCCGGCCCTCCACTTAGGAAGTCGCATGTGTCCCTCCCTCCCTCCCAAATTTATCAACACAACGAACCCGGTTAGGCAGGCAGAGGCTAGGCCACCCTAAGAGCTACGCGGCAGGGCGACCTGAACCCACGTCCTCCGTCTCAGGGGACGACACTCTAACCACTGCCCCGCGCTACCTCCTCAGCTTCCACTCTTACCACAGATGTAGTAGCCATGTGGGCGCCGTCCCGCGAGGACTGAGGTAGAGAAGTGAGAAGCCAGGCTCGCCTTAGGGGCAACCTGCTCCTCTGGAGGAAGCACGCACAGGGATTGGCTGGAAGAGAAGCGCGAACAGTCAAGACGGACCCAGGAGACGGCGAGACGGGTAGGCGGAAACGGAAGCGCGGTCTCCGAGGAAGGAGTTAATTCCGCTATAGAGGTGCCGAGGCCTAGAGCGGCACCGCTCTAGGAAGAGATCCTGGCAAACGGGTGGCTTCATGCGTCGGCCAGAACTTCCGGCCGCCTGTCGCTATGGCGACGAATGACAGGCCTTCCGCTGCGTTTGGGCTCCCCCCCCCCTGGTGTTCCGGTTTAGCGTAACTCTTTCTCCCGCCCCCTCCACCACGTGCCTTTCCTGCTGCTTAGCACTGCAGGTTCCACTAGCTTCACTCCAGAAAGGCAGTCTGGCACAGTGGTTAGGGCGAGGGTGGCGAGTGCGCGGCCCTCCAGGCGCTGCTGGACAGCAGCTCGCATAATCGCTGCCCGTTGGCGATGTTGGCTGGGCTGATGGGAACTGGAGCCCAGCCACATCTGGAGCGCCAAATGTTGGCAAACCATGCATTAAAAAGAAACACACACGTACAAAGAATCCTGGGAACTGTAGCTTACCACCTAAAGATCTGCAGTTCCCAGAACGTGGGAAACTATAAAGTTCCCGGGATTCTTTGGAGAGGAATGTTCCTAAATGTAGCGCGTGTGCTCAGTCTAATGATCCTAGTCGACCGTGTGCGGCATGAGGCTTTTTTACTCTGTGAGTGAGCCCGTCGCTTCCTCTCTCCGCCGAACTTCACCTCGCAGGGCTGTTGTTGTGAGGATAAAAAGGAAAGAGAAGGAACCAAGTGTGCTGTCTTTCGCTCCTCAGAGGAAGGTGGCATGCAAATGTAACACATGAAATTACACTCCTGGTCACCTATTGCCACCACAAAATGTATAGCGACAAACTTCTACTGGGCCTCAGCTGAATGTCCAGGACCTTTGTAGGAAGACTGAGCAATATGTTATTTCGGCGTCCACAACTCTTTAGCGGCTCATACAATATCTCCCTTTTATCTTTTAAATTCCAAAGAGCTAAATCTGCCTGCAGATATGGAAAATTCCACCTTCTTTTTCTGTTATGGTGCTAAGTGGGGATGCAGCAACGTGTAAAATTACAGTAGAAAACAAATCTATCCCAAACATCCTTTGGTGGGCATAACTTAGTTGGTTCTTGAATCCATTTTTAAAAATATAAAAAATTTATTATGACCATTTCATTCCTTTCCCAACTTTTTCTGTTTCTAACTGTCTTTTAAGAACCATTAGGGGGCATAGGAGTGCTTTGCATTGGTAGAAACTGAAAAATGAACTGCTTTTGCTTTAGGATAAATAATTACAGTAGAGACGTGAGCTCCAGTGAAACTGATGTTAACTCAACATAACTGCTGATTTTCCAAACCAGCTAATAAAAATAAGTGGGTAAAAAACTAACCAAAAAGGTCTGGATGACCCAGAGACGGGGTGGGTGGCAATTTCTAAGAGGGTGTTTATTTTACCTCAAATTCTGGTTACCAAGATTTCCAGCTGTTCAGCAGGCCCCTAGGGTGAACATGTGTCTTACTTGTGTCTTACAGAGGACAGTCCTCTATTATGAAGGGTTATAAGAGGACGAGATGGTTGGACAGTGTTCTCGAAGCTACAAACATGAGTCTGACCAAACTGCGGGAGACAGTGGAAGACAGAAGTGCCTGGCGTGCTCTGGTCCATGGGGTCACGAAGAGTCGGACACAACTAAACGACTAAACAACAACAACAAGAGGACAGTCCTCCGTCTGAAGGGTTGTCCAGGGCAAGTCCACTTTAAAGAATAAGAATCCTAATAATAATAATAAATTTTATTTATATCCCGCTCTCCCCAGCTTAAGCCAGGCTCAGAGTGGCTAACATCAAATGTATAACACATTAACATAAAATCAGACAGTCAATTAAAATACATCCTCAAATCAGATCAGGATCAGAATAAAATCCAATCAGATGGCAACCTGCAGATTAGGGTTGGGGACCTTAAATGCTCACCAGGCCCAACTGTTTGTGCTGTTTGTGCTTTGAAGTTAGCAGCACCCAGACAGCAGACTGAGAGGGCAAACAGAACACCTGGTCACAGGTGAGATACCTGGTGATAATCAGATTCTCACGTTTCTATTATGATAGCAAATTTTCTGATAATGCATGCATACCTATAAGTTAACATATGCAAATTTTATGCAAAATGGTGCCTTTCGTCTTCTTTGCTGTGATGCAGTTCCTCCTCAGTCTTTTTCCCTGCAACAGTGCTAAAGTGGCTACCGTATTCTTTGATCTTCAGCAACAACAAAAAACGCTTTTCAGAGCATGGATAGCTATTTATTATACAACAAATGAACATGGAACTTTACAGCGTGAGTGACATACAAAACAAACAAGAAGCTACTTTCATTCAGTTGGAGTTTTCAGCCTAAACTTTGGCTCTGTACATATTACCGTTTACTCTGGCTGCAGTGTACTCCAACCACTGGTGTTCTGAAGCTGTGTACACATGACATTAGCCACAATCCATATTTGTCCTGTAGTTTCTTGAAAAATACAGCATTTTCTGTCAAACCAGATTCCATCCGATTTGAAAATGTAAGTCACATTCACTTTGCAGTTAAACTGATGTATGTACATTTCAGGCAACCATAGCCCATGCACAGATGGCAGCTTCACTGAATAGGAGTTTGCAGCGGCAGGAGGGGTGTGTGTGGCAGGCATGGGGAGGCAAGTCAGGTAAAGCACATCAGGTGAAGACATTTCTGCCCCACTTGGGCATGTGCAGCAACATGCAAATATGAATTGAAAAGCAGCATGGGGCGCGGAGGGGGTGACCTTGTTGCATTTTAAGTCACTAATGTATACATAGCCTTTGACAGAGGGGAAGACAAGAGCTGACTCGGATACTGGCAGATTTTCGAGACTTAGTATGAACATCTCGGCCAATATGAGTGGGGCCACCAGCTTCGGTGCTTGTTGCCATAGCATCTTATTTTAAAAAGTATTTTATAGTTGGCCCAGACATGCACATGATTACAGGTGCACGTTTTTTTAGTTTTTTACTTTTAAAACAAAAGTGTGCTTATTTCCAAGTAAATGTATTTAGCATTAGCCCAGCAGAAGTAACCCCTGTTTTATTTGTCTACTCTTGGGTGTGTGGTTATTTCGGTGAGTTTAAATGCAAAACTGCACATCTTAATGCAGGGTTCTTTCTTAAAGTAGTGTTTAGGGATGTGGGAACCTGAGGGGGTGGGAAGAAGAGAAAGGTGAATTAGAGAATCAGAGAAGTTGGAAGGACCACCAGGGTCATCTAGTCCAATCTCCTGCAATGCTGTCTAAAGGGGGACCACCCATAAGTTCAGGGTCTAACTCTGCTTCTGGGAAGGAAGAACAACAGGAGCAAGGAAGAGCAGGACAGACTTTTGGAAATTCAGTCATACACACCACTTGTTTTCTACTGCAGATTAAACCACCATTCAAGACAGAGCATCAGGGTTTAGCTGAAAAGTTGGCAATCCATTACTGATCATGAGAGTTATTGGCAACCTCTGTTGCTGTTTAAAACCACGATTTTCCTCTCAGTGGTGCAGGATGTTACCATGGGGGTGGTTTGTTTGTTTGTTTGTAAGGAGCTGATTGCAGAAAAGGAGGGTGAGGGGAGACCTGGTCATGGATGTGAAGGTGAAAATAGGTGCAAAGCGTGGGTGCAGAACAGAAGAGAGAAGTGGCTTCAGAAATGGGGTTGGGATGGTGAAAAATGAGCTTAGTAGGAAAGGGAAGCTCTAGGAGGTTAATGTGGGGGAAATTGTCAGGGATTGGTGGGCAGAATGAGCAAGGGTCCAGGCCCTAGCACTGAGATATTTTTGTTTGTGTGCAGCAAAATAAGAATGGGAAAAACAGGGTAAAAAAACAACAACTTTTATTTATCTCACTTCTCAATGGTCTCTGCGACAAAGGGAGCCATCTCTCTACACAAAGGAATAATAGAATCTCATGCTGGAAGACACTTATTAGATCATAGCCTGTCTCCCCGCCAGTCGGGCAGGATTGTTCCTGACAACAGATTAATAGTACCATCCACCAACAAGTGTTGCAAGCAAACAGATGATCTTTTCTTTTGCTTGCTATTCTTGTAGAGAGAATATTGTCATTTTAACAAGATTTTGTTGTTGTTGTTGTTACTACCAATGAAATACTGTTCCTTAAAAATAAAATCCTGCAGATACCTCCTCCTGGATTGTTCCTAAGTGAGGTTCTGTCTTCTTCTCAAGTCTGTGTTTCCTTCCTCTGAGTCTGCAAGAAGTTGGGAAGGAGACCTGGCTTCCAAGCTACTTCAATGGAGCCTTCTCATCCCCCAGACAGACTAATGCCTGTTAAAGGAGTCAACAGTGGAAATGTCCATCCCATGTGCTTGCGTGCGCGCGCACACACACACACACACACACACACAGACCCACACCCCAAACTTTCTGTTTACCAGGGCTGTTTCTGAAGCAAGTGATATATTTTTATTTTCAGATGATCCATTTCAACCATTTTTTTAAAAAAAATGTTTGATTGGATGTACTCTTTTATAATTTTACCACCTGCTGTTTTTAAAGTCTGTTTTTGTTGCTAATTTTTAATGAACCACATCTACTCTTTTGCAGTGCTTTTCTCTGTCTCAATTTGACTCAAGAAAATCACACTTTTATAGTTCAAATCGGGGAAGATAAATACAGTAAATGGACAAAAGTACAAAGATTCACAAAATGTTTAGGGGTATGCGTACCCCTGCGTCCCCCCAGAAAAAGAACACTGCTCTTATGTAAACCTCTCTCTCCCACTGTGTGTGGTTATATACATCTAGCCATTGTTGGTGTTCATGTTTCTCTCTGAACTTTCTGTAATATTCACAGTTAGCACCATATTCACAGCCATGAATGATACATTAACTAGGATTAAATATATCAGATATATGTCTTTAGGAAGGGTGCAGAATAAATAGTACACCCCTGTTGGCATTCTCTGTTGATGTTTTATCGTGTTTTTAATATTATGTTGGGAGCCGCCC